AGACCTTGTCTCAAGGGATAAGGTGAAGAGCCATCGAGGAAAATGGCTGATGTGAACCTCTGACCTCCACATGAGCACTCACTGGTGCACAAACTCACATGCACATGCACATACATCATATGTACACACACGCACAAAAAGAAAAGATTCCGTGAACCAATATATGGACAGTACTTAATAGGACCTTGCTCATAGGACACCCCCAAGAAGAGTATTGCCAGTGTAATTATTCTATTTAGATAGAGCCCATTTTACATATGAGGGAACCAAGGCTAAGAGTGGGTAAGAACTAGTTGAAGATCAGCCAACCAATAAATGATATGTCCTATCTGGCTCCCGAGCTACCACAGCATCTGCCGAGCTACCTGAGCATCCCACAGGCCACAGCACTGTGGCAGTTTATCTTCCTGAAGCTTCTCAAGGAGACAGTTCTTCCCTTCAGGGGCTCTTTTATTCCTGGTTCACTTGGTGGATCATCCAGACCCAGCTTCTTGCTGCCTGGATAAGGGAAGGCAGTGTTCACTGCTCTTTGATCTGGTTCTGAGTCCAGGGAGCTGCTCAAATCACAATGTATGAGGCTCTTCTTTGAAGGACCCCCACCTGCCTATCATTCTGTCCTTTTTGCTCCTTATTCAAAAGTACCCAACAACAAGTCACAGGCAGACAGGCACTAAGCAAAGGCTTCGCCACTGATAAAAGCAGGAACACAGTGCAGCAGGCAGTGTCTCCATGCAGATGAGAAGCTGGAGAAAGCAGTCAGATCGCACTTGCTGTCTGATTCCTCCCATTCCCGCATTTTTATGAACCAATCTTTTTCATCTTCTGTCTTTTACCAGGGCAATATTTTTGAATGTATGTTTTAATATTTAAAGCACCTGGTAGCCAACTGTACAATTTTTGTCTCTTTTAATTAGCTTGTTAACTTCTTTCTCTTTATCCATTATAGATCTCTTTCTGCCCTCTCAGAAAACGCATTGCATATTTATAGCATTATAAACCCTTTCTGCTCTTCTCCCAACTGTATTTTCAAGCAGAACCAGAGTCGTGCTCTTTCTCCATTAAAATGGAAGCAGGGCATAGCTTTTCATTACCCTTTCCCCATCCCTAACAGGAAAGTTTCCACACATACAATAATAACCACAAAGCTTCCAAGTAGAGCTCACTGCCTTGGAGCCAGACTCCACAAAGATGAGGACACGGCGTCTCTCTTGGCCTTTGCATTGTTTCTTGTACCAGCTTCCTGTGCAGCAGCCTCTACTCTAGGTTTTCTGTCAGTGAGACTGAGGGTCGTTCCCATAGGTGATTGGGAATAAAAGATGTTCCCTTCTCTGAGCCAGACCTCCGTGCACGTTCCTGCCACCCTTCGTTCATACTGGCCTATAGATTGAGGTGCTATCTGAGAACTGCCTGACACCTGCACTCATTTTGCTTCCTTAACATTCTATCTGCTGAGTCAGTCAAACTTTTGAGATTATTCAGTAGACTTGGGATGGAGTTTGGTACAAAGTCAATGCTGGAAACAAGGAGTCCTCCCAGTTACATGGGCACAGAGCAAGGTTTTGTGTCAGCCACCCGGAAGTGAAGCTTCCAGTTCTGTGTCCTGCTAGCACCACATCCCCTTTCCTCTAAGAGCCCTGTGACCATTTGTTGCTGTCTTCTCCATCCTCTGCTCTGCTGCTCAGAAGCACACTCACAGCCACATCAAGTCCCTCACACTCTTGCCTTCTTCCATCTCCACACCTCCACTGTAACTCCTTGGTCAGCCTTTGAGGTGCCAGGTGTACCAGCCACTACCTTCTCATTACCCATCACCATGGCTCCCTTGGCAGGTACCACCCAGATACAAGCACCTGCTTTTTGCTAAATCTTTTCTTTCTCTACCTTCTGAGTCCTCTCCTGGACCATATTACCTACCAGCCAAACCTTTCATTATCTCCATACCAGCCTAGATCTCAGTCCACTTTCTCTGCCAACTGCCCTTCTCAGGGGAGTGATTCCTGCCCAATAAGCCAAGAGCAAAAATTCTCTCTAGCTCATACCTTATTACCATCCTGATCAAAGATTCAGGTTGTAATGCCCTCCACCCCTTTTCACATTTCCCTTCTTAAGTTAAAAAGAAACATGTGTTCGGGGCTGGAGAGCTAGATTGGCAGTTAAGAGCACTGACTGCTCTTGCAGAGGACTCAGGTTCAATTTCCAGCACCCACATGATGGCTACAAACTGTCCTTAACTCCAGTTCCAGGGGAATCCAAAGCCCTCTTCTGACCTCGGCAGCACTGCATGACACGGGTGCACTCACATACATGCAGGCAATACACATAAAATAAAAATAATAAATAACAAAAGGAAACACATGTTCAAGTTAATAAGTAAAATAATACAAAGCGTAACAAAATGTGAAATACTGCCCCAGCCTCCTGCCAACCCTACTCTCCTGGGAGCAATCTAGAGGGTGTGTTTTTGTGCTTTCTGGACAACCTGCAGGTTCTCCCAGGTTACTAGGTATTCTAGTTTGTTTTTCAATTGCTGTGACAAAATACTCTAACCAGTACCAACTTGGAGAGGAAAGGGTTTGTTTTATATTACATCTCCCAGGTCACAGTTTCTCAGGGAGCCCAAGGTAGGAACTCAGGGCAGGAACCTGGAAGCAGGAGCTGGAGCACAGGCCATGGAGGAACACTGTTTACTGGCTTGCTCCCCTGACCCCTGCTCAACCTGCTTTCTTTTTAAAAAATATTTTATTTATTTTTTTTTATTTTATGTGTATGAGTCTATTGCCTACATGTATGTGAGTGAACCCATGTCATGCAATGCTGCAGAGGTCAGAAGAGGGCTTCAGATTCCTCTGGAGCTAGAGTTAAGGACAGTTCATAGCCACCATGTGGGTGCTGGGAATCAAACTTGGGTCCACTGCAAGAGCAGTCAGTGCTCTTAACTACTGAGCCATCTCTCCAGCCCTTCAGCCTGCTTTCTTATGCAACACAGGCCCACCTGCCCATGGGTGGCACCACATACAGTGGGCCCTCCCATATCACCCAACAATCAAGAAGATACCCCACAGATATGGCTACAGACCAGATCAATGGAGGCAATTCCCCAGTTGAGGCTCCCTCAACCCAGGTGTGTCAAGTTGACACTAAAGCTATCCAGCACACCACGGTTAGCACATGATCTGAACACCTTTCACTTGTGTCCACTGCCAGGTCTCAGGTCACAAAAATGCCTTTGGATACACCTGGCAGAGTAAAAATGGGTGATTTTGCTCAGTCCTTTATTCCCAAAGCTAATTAATTATCAGAACCCCTTCCATTATTAGAGCATATGAGCATCAGCTTGAACCATTGGTTTGGGATTCTGTAGATTGAGGATATCCTGGGTTATCTGGGCTAAGAGTTACAAAGCCAGTCTCTATCTATCTATCTGCTGGCCCAGTGTCTGGTATGCACCCAGCCAATAGAAGCTTAAATATTGCCCTATATACAAAAGCATTAAGAATGTACATTTATTTGAGGGGATATGGTACCCTGGTCACCTCCTTTATCATGGGTTAATAAAGAAAGTAACTTGGGAACATAACTCAGTGGCAGCACACTTTCCAAGTGTACACAATTAGTGGAGTTCCATCTGCAGCAGAACCAAAAACTGCATGTGTGTGTGTGTGT